GAAGAAAGTCCGTGGCTTGTTGTAGGGCAAAGGCAGCACCGAGGCTCAAGGGGCATGTGTTCAGAGGGGAGATAAAGGTGCCGGCAACAGCGATGTGGGCTCAGGGGGTGCCAACGGTTGGTGCTCAACCATGAACCTTCAGATTGGCAGTCCGCACCCACCCAATGCCGCCACCACAGAAGAGAAGTCCTGGGTGTCTATCTCCATGAAGATTACAGCCAGAGACCCTACAGAATGGGTCTACCCTACAACACAAGGGGTTGCCAAGAGTCGGGATCCCCTGGTGGGCAACCTAACAACAAGAAGTGGGTGTCTGTCTGGTTCATAGAGGAGATGGAGAACGTGAGGCTGGGGAAGTGGATTGAAGCTACGTAGTGTTACACAGAGAGAGGGGCTAGAGCCATGTCCTGGTGGAGCTGGGGAGCCACAGGAGGGACAGGGTGGCTCTGGATACGCCAAGACCTCTTGGGAACTGAGCTCTGTGGAAGAACCAGGGGGGAAGCTGATCTTTGCATCGCAGGATGCAGGACCACTTGGATCTCCCTAAAGGAGAAAAAGGCACCCGATCCCCTACCTCGTGCCGTATGCCCAGATGAACATGAGAGGGACCACAGTACAATTGAATAGAAGTACAAGGGACACCCAGAAAGCTGACGGTCACACCAAACCAGAGCTGATGTGGTCTAGGGATGGCTCACAACTTACACACTACGCAGGAGACAGAAAAGTTCGAGATCAAGTTCGGCAACCTTTGCAGGAACACCACCAGCACAATCCCGTCTGGTAGAAGCCACTCCCTTTGGAGCAAAATGGCAAGAAACAAACTAACCAAACAATCTCTGGAAACCTACCAATGACGAGACCACCAAGAGGCTGCCCGTTAATACCACGGAACCACGCAGATAGAGGACGGTGGGCAGAATGCCTGGTGGCACCTTCTGTCTGTTCTACCGCCACGTAAAGGTCCAACCACCCAACAAGCACACCACCACCCGCGTGCAAGGCACACAACTTCTCCCCAACAGCAAGGGCCAAACAAACACTTATGTCGACCCCGTAGGACAGGGCAGAAACGCCCCTGTGATCCTTCCGAGACTGTAACTCAGGCGTCCTCAAACTACAGCTTGCAGACCCCCTGCAGCCTGTCGAGGACATTTATCCAGCCCGCCGGGTGTTTTTGCCCCGTTTTGTTTTTTTCCTTCAAAGTAAGATATGTGCAGTGTGCATAGGAATTTGTTCATCGTTGTTTGTGTTTTTTTAAACTATAGTCCGGCCCTCCAACGGGTCTGAGGGACAGTGAACTGGCCCCCTGTTTAAAAAGTTTGAGGACCCCTGCTGTAACTCTTTACGGGTGTGGAAAGCCTCATCTTTCTCCCCAGGGGCGGCTGGTGGTTTTCAGCAGCTGACTTTGTGGTTAGCACCCAAGGGCATCAACACGAAGCCACCAGGGCAGCCAGCAAAGTCAGGAAAAAAAAAAAAAGACACGAACAGGATTGGTGATTTGCAACAGCAAACAGGGGCCCATTCCTTGTTGGGGATATTCTTCAGCTCTAAGA